TTCCTTCCTCCTTCCTTCCTTCTTTCCTTCCTTCCTTCCCTCCATCCACCTTTCCATTCTCCTTCCTTTCTTCCTTCCATCCATCTTTCCATTCTTCCTTCTTCTTCCTTCCGTCCTTCCTTCCTTCTGTCCATTCATCTTTCCTTCCTTCTTTCCATCCATCTTTCCATGCTTCCCTCCTCCTTCCCCCCCTTCCTTCCTTCTTTCCTTCCTTCCTTCCTTCCTTCCTCCCTCCCTGCCCCGCCTCCCCTGCCGGGATCCATTTTGTCTGCCTTCCAGAGCCCTCTTCCTTCCCTAATGGTTTCTCTTCCCTGCTGGGTTCTGGAAAGAGCCAGCGAAATCCAGTTGTGCAGAAGGAAGGGCGGCACGGGTGTGTGTGTGTGTGTGTGTGTGTGTGTGTGCGCGGAGGGGCTCTTGAAATGCGCCAGAAAGGCTCTGGCTCTGGCTCTGGCTCCCTTCCCTTCCCTCCCTTCCCCTCCGCCTCCATTCCGACGCACACGCGTGCACACCTGCCCCTCTCGCGGGAGGGAGGGCGAGGCGGGTGTTATTATCTGAAGGAAAGCCTTCCCTCCCCACTTCCACACTGAAGCGCGCCCCCATGCGCGCTCCCGCGACACATCAGCACGCTGACGTCACCACGAGATGGAGGAGGAGGAGGAGGAGGAGGAGGAGGTATAAATTGGGATCTGACAGCTGCAAGGAGGTGTGACGGCGAGACACGTCCTCCTTTTCCAGGACATGCCCTACATACCAGTCTTCCGTCTAGGAGGAATTCCAAAAAGTCCTCCATTTTGAGCAGGTCCACGAAGCATGCATTTTTTAATTTGGTCACGTCCTCCATTTTGCGGTGCCTTGTCCTCCTTTTTGGTGATGACTCCTGGCCACTCTGGTCCTCCTTCCTTTTAGGCCCTAATATAGCTTCGAGGCCCAAAGGTTCCCCTCCCTTCCTCCTTGATTTGAGCCAAGCAAGAGGGCTTCCTGGTCTTTAGCCCCTTCTCACTCGGAAACTAACCCCATTTAGTTCAATAGGGCTTACTCCCAGGTAACTATGGACCTTAAACTGCTTTCATCGCCAAACCTGGGCCGTGAAGTAAAGGTGGCGGTGGGGGGGGGGATATCAGCCATTAATACAGGGGAGAAAGTGCTGCAGAGCATGTGCAGAGTGTCTTTTTTCCTCATACTTAGCCATTGCCATTATTAAGCATAAGCATCTGCATGAGAGCCAGCGGGGGACAGTGGTTTGAGCATTGGACTACGACTCTGGAGACCAGGGTTCAACTCCCAGCTCGGCCATGAAACCCATTGGGTGACCTTGGGCAAGTCACACTCTCTCAGCCTCAAAGGAAGGCAATGGCAAACCTCCTCTGAACAAACCTTGTCAAAAAGGAAAACCCAGGATAGGACTGGAAGGCACACAATAACAATCTGCCACTATTGACCAAAGGGCCTCAGAGGAGACCAGTCCTAGGAAACAGATTCAGGGCTAGTCGAATTGGCCATATAGCAATGTACAATAACATCCAAAATCCACAAAACAGTGACACACTGGCCGGCGCGTCCTCTTTCCCCGGACATATCCTCCATTTCAGCCTTCAGTCCAGGAGGAATTCCAAAAGGTCCTCCATTTTGAGCAGGACTAAGTAGAATGCAGTTACATTTCTATGAGTGTTTGCATAGAACACTCATAGATTTGGCCATGTCCTCCATTTTTCTTCAAGGCCCTCCATTTTGAACAGGAATAAGAAACGCGAATTTACATTTCTAGGAGTGTTTTCGCCTTTTTTTTAATCATGTCTGGAATGTCCTCCATTTTGAGCATGACTAGGAAGCATGATTTTATATTTATAGGAGCGTTTGTAGCTTTGTATTTGACCGTGTCCTCTTTATTTATTTATTTATTTTTCTTGAATGTCCTTATTTATTTATTTTTCTTGAATTTTGAGCAGGACTAGGAAGCATGAATTTACATTTCTATTAGTGTTTTTAGGAATGTATTTGGTCAGGTCTTCCATTTTTTTTTAATGAATGTCCTCCATTTTGAGCAGGACTAAGCAGCATGGATTTACATTTCTGTGGGGTGTGTTGTGTTTAGCTTTTGTTTGGTCAGGTCCTCTATTTTTTTGAAAGCCCTCCATTTTGAGCAGCATGGATTTACATTTCTAGGAATGTGCTTTTAAGCTTTTATTTTCTGTCCAGGAGGAATTCCAACCCGTCCTCCATTTTGAACAGGGTCAAGAGGCGTGGGAGTGTTTTCAGCCTTTTTTTATTTAGTCAGGTCCTCCATTTTTTCCCTTGGAGGCCCTCCATTTTGTGGTGCCCGGTCCTCCTTTGAACTGAGGACGTCTATCTCCCCCTTTCTCGGCCTGGGCACAGCGGTGCTGTCCTGGGCCTCTGTCATCGTCGGCGGCTGTGGCCGCTCCTGGCTCTGCTGCCATCGATCGCCTTTTAACTCGTCCTCTCCTCGGGCGGAGGGAGGGAAGGCGCGAGGCGAAAGAACAAGGTAGATACTGTATTTAGGTTCCTGCCCTTATATGGTGATGAACGCGGCGCCCGGCAGACTAGCTGCACCATATAAGGAAGCGGCGCGAGGGCCTCGGGTGAGCTGGTGAGCGCTGATTGGCCCGCCCGTCTCTCGGCAACCGGGCTTCGGCGGTGGAAACGGGCCTGCCAGCCCCTCCCCCTCGCTCCCTCTCCCTCCCCCCCTCCTCCTCCTC